TTGATTGAAAGCAGAGAATACCAGAAAGATGTTTACCTGTGTTTTATTGATTATGCAAAGGTTTAGACTGCGGATTATAACAAAATATGGGAATTCAAGAACACATTATTGTGTGAGTTCACAAACTATACACAGACCAAGAGACAATCGTCCAAGCAGAACAAGGGGATACTGTGCAATTTAAAACCAGAAAAGGTTGTATCCTTTCACTGGATTTATTTAATTTGTATGCTGAGCAAGTAATCCAAGAAGCTGAACCATATGAGGGAGCTTCAAAAAGTTCATGGAAAAAATGGGATTAAAAGAGAACAGTGAAGGAGGCTTTCTGTGGAGCTTCTGCATTACGTACGACCATAGGTGGAATCCTGAGCCACATCCAGAATCTTCTGAGGTGGGAAATTTCTACATGAAAGGACAAGCATACCAGCCAGGAGTGAAGCGGCTAGAAGAATAGAAGATACTTCTTGAAAGAAAGACCGACAGGAAAAATACAAAACAATAACGGCAGTCCGACTGACTGCTACAAGAACAAGCAAGTTACTCGTCCAGGAGACAACAAGGCAAGTGGTCGGGTCCCTTCAGGGTAAACCCCCTTCCAAGACTAAGACTCAATGGGAATACACGAGCAGACATGCACTCTGACTGGTGAGATGTTGGTCACCGATAAGGGGAAGTGAGGGAAAAACAGCAATGAAGCTGTGAGCTAAGCCCTACCACATTCAATGGACTCCTGTGAACCCGGGTGGAGACCTGGTTGGCCAGCAGTGTGGTGAGACCTGGGCCCAGAGTCAATGACATAGCCACAGAGGACTAGAGTGGAGAGTGCAGCATCCAGCTGATAAGAAGTGAGGGCATATGCACAAGAACACCCACACTTGCAGACAATACCAACTTGATCTGGCTTCAATGGCTGGATGATCAGAACTCAACTAGAAAGAGGAAAAAAAGAGTAATCTCATATAATTTGATGAACTTGACCTATACCTATAGATGCAGTAGCTCAAAAGAGGGAACAAATCTTTACAGCGAGGATCATTCCCACCCCATCGGTACACAGGGTAGACACGGATGGGCAACTTGGACATTGGCTACCCAAAATGGCCTATAAAGGCAAGAAGTGACTGGCTTACAAGCTTTCAAGAGGGAACCTAGATCCAAAGGGTACAGAAGAAGGTAGAATCTCCACTGAGTAGTATCTAATCTGTCTGGGCAGTGCTGATGAAAGGAGATGGGGATGGCACTCATGTGGCATCATAGTGAATAATTTTTATCAGTTCTGACTGTGAGGGTTGGGAATGTAAATGTAAATATTTTGCAGCCAAAGGAGGGGAGTGGTTGACTTTGCAGCCCAGGAGCAGAGGTCCCTGGGACCATTAAGGGAGGAGAGCAGAAAGCGGAACCCTACCTAGAGAAGGAGTGATCCCAGAGATGGAAGCAGAGACATTGTGTGCTGACGACCAG